CCTAGGCTAGAGGGCAGCAGTGCAGTAGCTCACTGCATCCTCGAATTCTTGGGCTTGAATGATCCTCCAGCCTCCATCTTCCAAGTGGCTAGGACAATAGGGATGTGCCACTAGGCTTCGCTAATCTTAAAATATTTTTTGTAGGGTGGCACCTGTTGCTCAAAGGAGTAGGGCATTGGCCCTATATACCGGAGGTGGCCAACAACAACAACAACAATATATATATACACACACATATATATATATATATAAAATAAAATATAAAATATAAAATAAAAATATATGGCTCGGCGCCTGTGGCTCAAGTGGCTAAGGTGTCAGCCACATACACCTAAGGTGGCAGGTTCAAATCCAGCCCAGGCCCGCCAAACAACGATGGCTACAACCAAAAAAATAGGCGTTGTAGCAGGCGCCTGTGGTCCCAGGCGTTGTAGCAGGCGCCTGTGGTCCCAGCTACTTGGGAGGCTGAGGCAGGAGACTTGCTTGAGCCCAGGAGTTGGAGGTTGCTGTGAACTGTGATGCCACAGCACTCTACCCAGGGGGACAGCTTGAGGCTCTGTCTCCAAAAGCTCAGTTCCTGTAGCTCAGCAGCTGGGGCGCTGGTGGGTTTGAACCCAGCCCAGGCCTGCCAAACAACAACAGCACAACAGTAACAAAAAATAGGCAAGTGTTGTGGAGCCCTTAGACTCTTGGACTCTCTTCACCTGTAGTCCCAGCTACTTGGGAGGCTGAGGCAAGAGAATCACTTAATACCAAGAATTTGAGGTTACTGTGAGCTATGATCCCTCGGCACTATACCGAGGGTAACAAAGTGAGACTCTAGCTCAAAAACAAAAAAGTTTTTGTAGAGATGGCATCTCACTATTAGAAATGTTAAGTGAGAGTGAGTTGGCTAAGTAGCAAAGTATAATTTCTTCCAATTTGTTTTTAAGGTATCCTTGAATATTTCCCTAGAGTCACCTAAGTGTCCCCTCCCACTGCTCTCTTCTCTCTTTCTCTACCCAGGCACCCCTTCTTCTACCCACACCATGAACTGTTTTGTGCCCCAACTTATTCATTTTTTTTTGAGACAGAGACTCACTATTGTTGCTCTCTGTAGTCATGTAGCATCACAGCTCACAGCAACCTCAAACTCTTGGGCTTAAGAGATTCTCTTGCCTCAGCCTCCCAAGTAGCTGGGCCTACAGACACCTGCCACAATGCCTGACTATTTTTTGTTGCAGTTGTCATTGTTGTTTAGCTGGCCCAAGCTCGAACCTGATAGCCTTGGTGTATGTGGCTAACACTGTAAACACTGTGCTATGGGCACCGAGCCAATGCCCTAGCTTATTCTAGCTTAACAGCTATACCCTCTTCATGAAAGCCATTCTTCTCATAAACTCTGGAAATTTGTCTATCCAGGCAACATAGGCAGGCACTGGAGTAATCATTAAAGAAGTTAAAGAACACCCTTTATTAATAATACTGAAGGCACAGACACCACTGGATAGAAAGGGACAAGTGAAATATTCTCCTCCCATTATAAGAAGGCAAGGAAATATTATGAATGTAAACTGGGAACAGGATCTTATCCAACCAGCTCATAGCTGATACAGAGAAGGAAACCTCTTAGTGTTGGTTCTCAAAAAGCGATTCCTTAGAAGCCCATCTTACCCAGGGAATCAAGGGTCTCATAATTGGTCTTCATCACTTGCTTATACATTTCCTTCTGCCATTTCTCCAGGATGTCCCACTCTTGCTCCGTAAAATATAAGGCAACATCATCAAATGTCACGGTTACCTACAGCACAAACAGTAGATACATACATTTTCTCTTTAAGGCTACTTTTTTAATGTCCATGATTTACTAAGAGATGGAAAAAAACAAACCAGTGATCTCTGGATGGTGCCATATAATTTAATGAACATACTAAAGAAGTTACAAATGTCCAGTGGAGCCAAGTAAAGTAAATGAAGGAAAAGTAGATCTTTGAGTATGTGCACCATCCTTTACTTAACCAGAACCAATTACTGTTGTTAACTAAGCCTGGGCCTAGTTTAGTGGATGTGTCCATTCAAACTTTTCAATTTTGAAATAATTACTAATTCACAAGGAGTTAAAGAGAAACTTCAGGCTCGGCGCCTGTGGCTCAAGTGGCTAAGGCACCAGCCACATACACCTAAGGTGGCGGGTTCGAATCCAGCCCGGGCCCGCCAAACATCAATGATGGCTGCAACCAAAAAATAGCCAG